TGAATTGTCATAAGGTTTGTAAGAGCCCCCCCTCCGCCAAATAAAATTATAAAAAAAAAAGACTGGGTTTCCCTTGAAGTGTGACTCAGGATGGACAGAGATGGACGTCAAACTCACAAACAGACACTGACTAGGAGCTACCCTGCAGGGTGCCAGGGTGCCCATCTCCACGCGAGCAGACAGCCTCGGCTTTCTTCCAAGGAGTGGCTGGCGGGTTTGAACTGCTGACTGCGATCAGCAGCCCAGTGCCCAGCCCACAGGGCCACCAGGGTTCCTAGAGGCTGACCCAGGGGGAGTTCCGAGCTCCTTCTGTTTGATAAATTGAGACTCTGAGCCGACATGAAAGCAGCCGGAGGTTGAGGAGCAGAGACTACTCCGATGTTGAGCTGAAGGAGGAAATCCAGTGGACGTGCCCTTGAGATTAAGGACATGGACACCTTCCACCCCAACAAAGGCCCGGCCACGTGCTACGCAGGGCAGACACAGAGGGAAGCCGGAGTCCACAGTGACGAGCGGGCCCGGGAGGCCAGTGGGACCTAATGGACTGCCAATGGATGCCCTCGGTGCCCTAACTTGCAGAAGGTCAGCAGCAGTGGACAATGTCCTTGGCAAACCCTGCTCCCCAACCCTGGGTTGTTTTGCTTGATGATACCAGATTCTAGGTTGTACTGTCCCAGGGGGTCTTAGGGTGGGACGAAGGAGAGACTAAAAGGTTGAAGGTCGGAGCCCACCTGGAGGGGCATCACCAGAAAGACTGGTCATCTCCCCAAACCAAACCAGCCTCACTGCCCTCCGGCTGATCCTGACTCACGGGGACCCTACAGGACAGGGTAGACGCACTTCTATGGGTTTCTGAGACTGCCACTCTTTACGGGAGTAGAAAGCCTCAACTTTCTCCTGCAGGGCAGCTGGTGGTTTCAAACGGCTGACTCTGCAGTCAGCAGTCCAGTGCGTTACTCACGAAGCCACTGGGGTGCCTACTCTGGGACACTTAGCCACCACAGACCCTGTACGTGCAAGGAGTTGGTTGCCGTTAGTGCTATAAGAAGAGCAGCTCGCTTCCTTAAACGTGCTCACTGGTAAAAAGAACCATCACCAGTCCTGGTAATGCCAATAACTCAAATTATGCTGCTTCTGATTCAGAAAACAGAACAGAGAACCACAGAAACAAGGGAGACGTGGCCCTGCGTGGGGAACGGCCGCGGTGGATTGGTTTCCAAAAAGCACGCCACCTGAGGTCAGTGGCCCCCAGGCTGTGTTTATGGTGGGCCTCAGACGTAGGTATGTGTTTCCGCATTTAATTCCTAAGTCCTCCCAGATAAACGCTGTCAACTAACGGAGTCTACAATTGTTCTGTCCTCTTTTAAGTGACGGTTGGCGTGAAGGGAATTTCTGTCAACGTGGAAACGTCTCCCATGTATTGAGTCTTAGTCAAGAGAACGAACGTGTGCGTGGGTGCACACGCATGTGTGTGTGAAGGGGGAGGGCTTAAGTCATCTTTCTGTCGGGTCACAAATAAGATGCAGCAGTTAGAGCAAGCGTGGGTCCCCAAGGCTCCACCTTTAAAAGTTTATGCACAGCAGTGTTTTCATTGCG